AATTGGACAAAGATGAAGAAAAAGTGACGGGTTTTATCCATTCCTTACTCTATCCAAAACAAAAGTATACATGTTTTGGCTTCACATATACTTTAAGTGATGCTTATGACCAGTGTTGATGGGCAAATGTGACTTGCTCTATACATCAGTGTTAGACACGTCTGAGATTGTTCAGAAATTATTGATGGGGCATTTGGCCTGCAGCTGACCTCCTCCTGATTTGCATTTGACCTGCTTTAAGCTGCTTTGCATTCCTATAGACTTGTATGGGAAAAAGAGTCAACTCTGGTGTAAAGAAAAGCCTAAAATCTCAGTGTTGGTTAGAAAAGCCTTTAACTTTCTAGGATCAGTGTGAACTTTCCAGCTTTGCAGCAATATCATTATCATTACTACTGTTGTCATGGTGATAGAGCTCTGCAGAAACAATTAAAAAAATCAGGCTTATTGAAAGAACACCTGTACTGAATGATGGAACGCATAGAAAGAACATAGAGAAGGAAGATGTTGCACTGTGTTCGTCCAGTGATTAAGGTTTTAGAATATTTTGGAACCATCGCATTTAAAGCCTTCTATAGTCCAGTAAGCTCCTTACCGATTGCCAGTTACAATGGTGACTTGGTCAGGATACATTGTGGATCTCAGTTCAGTATGGCAAAATCAACTGATATTTGGCTTCTGAAAATTTGTTTGGCCATTTTAGAGACTGAAATGGAAAATTTTCAGCAGTATCTGGGCTGAGCCTTTAAGTTGATGATTACACCAATTTACTTAGTGTTGTATAATTATATGGTACAAAATTATTTAAATTTGTGGATACTTTAAAACGTTTTCCTGCATAGTTCTGCTAAAAAAGATTAAAACGTGTAGATTATATTCTGCAAAACGTAAAATGGTCTCAATGTTTTGAGCATTTTGGAATATCACCATAACCAACAGCAAAGTGTTCTTCAACCTAAAGTCTTTAGGTCAAATGAAAAGAAGATGAACCTTAAAAATAAGGAGGCAGAGCTGAGGTAGGGCAGGCTTAATTGGTGTGTGATGTACAGTTTGGTGATGGCACTCTTTCTAAGTAGGGTAAAACCATCATCCTTTGCAATATATAGTTGACTACAGCACCGCAGGTGCTCTTCCATAGCCATTTAAAAAAAAATGTAAATAAAGCAGAGAATAGTTACAACACTGTTTTGCCATCTGTGTCCCATTGGAATGGGGGGGGGAGATTTCATTATTTCATTTTACTCTTGTCCCGTAGACACAGCAGGGCATACGTGGAAATCTCTTAAGGGTGATAAAAATCCCCTTCTAGATGTTTGTCACTGGAACTAGTGACTATATTGGAAGATTGCCCCTTTACTCCATTTCTAATGATGAGCCCAAATTTTGAATTTTCCCCTCACGTTCAGTCCCTGTGACAATGAGCACCGGGCAAATAAGGAGGGTGGATCTCAAAAAGGACATACAGACAGAATGGAAACCCTGACAGAGGTTCTAATCCTACCCTGCTCTATTAAAAATGGCTTTAGAGAAAGTAAGACAATGCAAAGGGCAGTGACAATGAGAACAGCGCAATAATGCAAAGCAAATCAATCAGATTTATTTTTACTGCACTCATACCAGTAAATCAGTAAATCCTGATTGGTTGTTAAGGGATACTGCACTTTACTATGATCATTAACATTAGCTGACAATTTATAAGCGTAAATAATAGGATGGAGATCGTTCAGTAAAGTTTGTAGACCTTGGCTTTGACACGCAGATGGAAGCTACCGAGGAAAGGCTTAATAACATTTTGTAGGTGGACATTCACAAGCCAATGTATAAAGTTAGAACTTTTAGGGTAGGCAACGTCTTTAGCCAATAAACCACTTTAACAGAATCCCATGATCAGACATTCCCTAAAGAAATATCAGGATATAGAATATATCAGTTGTATTTTACCATTAGATGAGAGTACTTCTTCACAAAGAGCACACAAAAACATTTATCCCTGCACTGTGAACATACGTGGTTGTAAAACAGGAAGTCTCTTTTCATAGAGAAAAAAAGATCTCTATGCTTGCAGCAAAGTGAATACTTATAGGAAAAGCTCCAACACACAGAAGACCACATTAGTGCTCTAACCACTCACGTAAAACATTGCCTGTGTTAACAAAATCAAGTGAGCACTGCATTATAGTTATTAAGAAAATAAACCACATCAACCAATCAACTCTACCTTTTAATAGTATAACCAAGAAGACTGACCCAAAGATAGCCTGTAAATGGTATCATTTTGCTTTACTCTCCATGTTTTGTACAAAGAGAGCACCAATTCGATTCAGAAAAAAACCAAAAACACTCAAGCAATGCAAGTTACCTGCTATACCCCTTCCTGCACTCAAAGTGTGAAGACTATCAGCACTTGCAACATCCATCAGTCATTGTGGTGTTTAAACAGTAGCTGAAGAGACTTAAAGGGCTTCTCCACAAACTATTTTTTGTCAACATTATCTTGCATGTTTTTGTATATTTAGGACTAATATCAGTTCCTTTCATAGTACTTATCAGTTCTGCATATCATTCCTCTAGCAGTTACTCTATATGGGGCTGTTTAGAAACTATTTGTTTAAAGAGACTTCACTCCAAAAGAAGACTAAAGCAAAAGAGAAGGAAATTCTGGGTCAGCTGCCTGGTACCTATACGAAACATCTTTTATGTCATGTATGATGAGGGAGGTGGCATCACTAGACCCAAGGAGTGGCATGTCATGTAGGATGGTATGATAAGGAAGGTAGCGCCACTAGACCCACGGGATTTCTTGTCATGTAGGATGAGGGAGGTAGCGCCGCTAGAACCAAGAAATGTCATGTCATTTATGCTGAGGGAGGTAGTGCCCCTAGACCCAAGGAATGTCAGAGTGAAGCAGTGAAAGGTCACTGGTATATATGAGAGTCTTGTGGCAGTTGGAGAAGACTGCGTTAAATTTGCAAGCCTTGGTTGCCTATATTTTTCTTAGCCACTGCACAGGTATTACAATACTGCTAACTGCTGGGAAGATGCAGGGTATGGGAGCTACATCTCTATGGACAAAGCCATGTGATATTGTTAAGGTTTAGTGGTTACTCGGATTTGTCCAGCCATGCACTACATGACATTCAAAATGAAAATCTGTTAGCAGCAGGTTTAGCATGTTAAAAAAAAAAAAACAGCCTCATTATGTAACTGAAGAGGGAAGCGGAGTTTAAGAGATGATTAAAAGGGTAGCCCTTAAGGGAAGAAACAGAGATTACACCTGCAAGTGGTAAAAACCTCTCAAGGCATTTGCATATGGGTATGGAAGAACAACTATATTTAGGCTAAGAAGAGAAACCTTTCAGTCATTTCTTTCAGTGATTATGATCACTGCATGACCATTATTTGGAGCAGAAGACAGGAAGTGGCCAGTGGGAATTCAAAGACTATTGGGTTGATTTACTAAAGGCAACACATACTGTTCACTTTGCAACTGAGTTTTCCCTTAGCTCAGTGAGTGAGGTGAAGCTCTGCTAACTTTAAAAAAAAAAAAAAAATGTGTATATGCCTTCATATGACTGGATGATATACACGGAGTGGCCAGATTATTATGACCACCTGACGTTTGCAGGCAAATTAGCTATAATTTCGCGCTGAAGTTGCTAGAGGGCCAGACCATTATAAATAGGGAAGCAGGTTGTTTACCACGACAGAAGAAGTGATTGCTTTCTGAAGATATGGGTAAACAACGCGATTTAACAGCCTTTGAACGTGGGATGATTGTTGGTGCTCGGAGCCATGGAGCGAGTATCAGCAAAACAGCAGAATTCATTAAATGTTCAAGAGCAGCTGTTGTTAAAGTGTTTAAAGACTGGACTGTCAGCCAAAAATCTGGGTCTGAACGTGCGAATTATAGCAGTCAGCGACTAGTCAATGTTAGGGCAGAACGGAGAGTGACAAGACTGGTACAAGACAACAGAAGGGCAACAGTGCAGTGTCAGATTCCTCGTATCACCTTTCAACATCTCGTGGAGTCACGAGGCAGCCCAACAAAGTAATCTCGTGGAGTCATCTCGTGGCCCAACGAAGTACTGATGGGGTGGTCATAATAATCTGGCCACTCAGTGTATTATCCTTGCACGTGATTCGCTATTCTTAGTTAGCTTACTGAATGTGGTGAAAATTCACTTTGCAAAGGGCAAATACCCTGGCAAAGCGAACAGCCTATTTGCCTTTAGTAAAACAACTCCATAGCATCTCCCGTTACTTAAAGTATGCGTTACTCTAAAGTCAAATCCTTTTTTGTTTTGAATAGAGTAGGGAATGGTTCAAAAAACCCTTTTTTGCGGTTCTGTCACAACGAGGACAGAACAGCAACCTGTTCTATCCTGGAAACACAAAAGAAAGGAAATCTCTCCCCTTTAGACATCTGTCACTGAAACTGCTTTCCCCATGGGCATATTCCCTCTCTATACCCGTTTTGGTGGTAACTATAAAATGTGTGATCTTCTTGTCACTTTCTGTCCCAGTGACATTGGTCACCAGAACAAAAAGATTGAATCTTCCCAGTTGGGACAGACAGCAGTTACACCTGACAGGAGGGTTTTTTTTTTTTTTAACACTTTCGCACTCTAAACAAAAGTACTGGATTTAGATACACTTTAAAGACAAAGATGTCCGATATGTGCTCCTCATCTTGCCTCAAAAGAGTAATGGATAACTAGTACTACACAATGCCAGCAGATTACTGAAAGGTCACTATAGGCTTGAGGTACATATTAGTAGATCTTTAGCATATAAATCATCCTCCATGTAATGATCTGTGGATTCTGGCATGCAAGTACAACATTGAATAGCATAGCTTGCAATATTGAGAATATGTAGAGAACCTTCTACTTTATCCAGATGTCTTCATTAGACAAACTCATACAGGATCATAGAATTCACCACATGGCACAAAAGTCACAGATACACATCAGTTAATCAGGATTTGTGAACTGAATTGGTACCTATGTGTAAATGGCAATGCATTCTGCGTAGGTTCAGCCCTTGGTTCAAAATTTTGCGTCACTTCGGGGGGTGTTCTTTCGTCATCTGTCCCATTGATGCTTTCTGGTGTTAAAGGAGACTGGATATCCCCTCCAGCAGACTCCTTAAATGGAATGCAACAAAAATGAATATTAGAAAAGGCATCAACTACACTTTATGCAATCGCTTTAATTGAAGCCTAAAATAGAAACAAAATAAAGCTGTTTAAAAGTCTTTGAATCTATTTTATACAGGATGCGAGTGAGCTGATTGCAGAATTATAGGTCTCACACATCACGGGCACGTCAGACCTCTGCAGAGAGATCATTGCTTCCACACAGAGTAAAAGCGTTTCTCTACAGCATGCTGGCAGGGGACAGACTTTTCTGCTCAGGCTGTGGCTGATTTCTTAAAACAGACTTTGCAAACCTTTTTGCTTTGATGTGCCTGTAATGTATTTAGTGCATTTAAACCTTAAATTCAGTTGGGCTTTAAGTATTTTTAAAGTAAATGTAAACCCCACCTGTATAGTATAACTGGATAACTGTGTATCTTAAACAACGGTTATGTTTTCCCCCCATGAAATACAGTTTTTTACATTTTTTTCATCTCAGTGCTGCTGACTCCTCTGGTCCTTTTTAGCCACTTTTTGTCCACAAGCACTTGCTTTGGCCTCCACTGCATTGCCTTGGACCAGCTTCCTGATAGTGACAACAAATGACCATACCTATACAATGTGTGTTGGTACAGCCAATCAGGGATGCTTGTGACAAAGATGACAAAACAGCAGTTCCTTTTTGAGACCGAAGGTGCCTAACCAAAGACCTTCATAGCATGATTAGCAGGTTTTTATTAACTATAAACTGTATTAAAAAAAAAAAAATCTAAAACAATTTTAATTACATTAACACCTGTAAGGAGATTTTAGCAATTATACATCTACATTAACCTACCACAACACTTGGAAAGATAAACTATGCTTATTGTGAAAGGAAATCCTAGTCAGATGTTACCTTTGGAGAAAACCACCTGTCAGTAGATATAGAGACCAGATTCTGTTGAAGTTATATTCAACTTTCTATATTTCCCATAAAAGTCAACAT